TACAGATAATAGAAAGAAGTAAATGTAGATTGATTTATACAGCCATTGAGTGAATTTGTCTTACCTGACCCTCTCTCTTTCTCTCTTTGTGTGTGTGTGTATACATACATGCATCCATATGTGTACATGTGTGTATGTATTTTTTACAAGGAATTTATTTTTGTTTCCTTTTTGTCTGGTTGGAAATGGGAAGAAGAAAATTACCAATTAAATGATGAAAATAGAAAAGTAGGAGGTGCTATAGATGTATATTATATTTACTTCCAGATGAGTTTATTATAATTTTAGTTTTTTCTTAATTGTTTTACTCTGTTATGAGAGGCTTCTCATGTAGTAAACATGTCTTTAATGGAAAAACAAAACAACACAATGCACATTAATCAAACTTAAAAATATGTTATGTACTCTGCATTATTGTGGATTAGATCACATTAGCATTTAATTAGTATTTATTTAAATACTCTAGAAGAAAATTTTCAAAATGAAATAATGAAAGGCAATAAATATGTTGTGCCATCAAATTATTTGTGCCCTCTTAGAAGTGACTCTTTATCTCCCTGAGCCTCAGTCTCTTAAAAAAATAAGTTCAAGAGGAATATAAGCTGATGGCATACATTACCACACTGATACACACACAAATACATATCTCTACACACATATATGTCCTCCTTATATAATTATATAATTATATACATTGTATATGTTATATAATTATGTAATAAAATTATGTATCATATGATTATATATTATAATCACATGGTATATTATTTCTATTTATCTAGTATAATTGAATATTTTATATTTTAATTTGGTTACATGGTCTTTCTCCCCAGTAGGATACAAACTTCAGGACAAGGACTGTTTTATTTTATATCTTTGTGTCTAAGGAACCTAGAAAGTCCTATATGTGTGTGTGTGTGTATGTGTATGTATGTATGTATAGCTATATGTATATAATATATATGTATGTATGTATATACACACACATACACACACACACACACACACACACATATATATATATATAATTTGTATACTACCTATGTCATAGAGTTGATGAGGAGAAAGTTCTTTCTAAATTGCAAAGCTCTGCATAATTGTTAGTAATTGACCTCACTTCATTTCGTAGATGAAGAATCTGTGGCCTAATTAAATTATTTTCTCATAGTTACACCAAAAAATGAAATGTTTCATTAAACTTCCACAAGTAAAATTTTTAATGTTTATTAGGTTGCAAAAATAGTTTTGTCAGAAGAAATGAAAGTTTTCTCTTGCTGTGAAATATTATAAGTAGATTTCCCCTAACCATTTTATTATATATTACATGCCTTTGAAGAATACTAGTGTAGAAATCAATTGTTTTGAAAATCTTTGTGTGTATGTGTGTGTGTAAAAAAATCTGTTTGTATATTTCCTTGTTTTAAATACACCATACAAATGCTGTTTGAGTTAAGATTTTAGTCATGCTTGCAACTCAATATATTATTTACTTATTTATACTATTAATTTCTGATTTATCAAAATAGAAAAATAAAGAAATGATATATAGTTCCTTTGATTCTATCAAGTGAACTTCATAGAAAATACTTTTAATTCATCTATTTTATAAGAATCACTTAAACCATTTGATCTTTTCCCAATAGATAATATTCTACTTTAGAAAGAATTCATCTCAGAGAGTAATGCAGATTTTAGATACAGGTTATAACAATGTTAGTTTTTGTGCTCACCCATACTCTCAAGTTTTTTAAAACAAAACCAAACCAAAACAAAACAAAAACATCTTAGATAAAAATGTTTCAAAAATTGTACTGCTATGAAATACATTGGTTTTTAAGAAATTCTGAATATTTTAATTTTTACTGAAATTGCTGAGATATTTTATGCAAGCCATCATTGAAGACACTACATTTTCTCAATAATAACCAATCCTTGTTATCTCATTCAGTTCTAGGGCTACTTTGTAATGCATCTGTAGTCCCTGTCCAACAAATTGATATGGATAGGCTAATTTAATGCATACATCCAAGTAAATGTTATAATGTAGGCAATATTCATTTTCAATCCACTTTGTTTTTCAAACATGAAGTACTGTAGAAATTTAATAAGTGTCTGTACTCTAGTTGGTGGTTTTGTGATGAAGTGCACATTCATATGATTTAAATTCTAATTATTAGTGTGTTTTGATCCAATATTATTAATCATTTTAGCAAGGGTAAAATTGAATTAAGAAAATAAAGAAATGAAGTAATGACTGTTTCCTAGTTGGTTCATTAAATTTGTTATTTATAATACCCATGCAAGTATTTGATCATAGTTTTAATCTATAAAGAACCTTAGAGGCAATTTAGTCCAACCCTTTTATTTTACAGATGAGAAAGCTGAGGTGATGATAGATTTATAAAAAGAAATAGTTGTGTCATATATACACATCTATGTACATATGTAGGAACATATATACATATTCACACATTTACAAATGCATATATGTATGTGTATATATACATACATGTGTGTGCTCTATAGCACTGCTCTAATATGTACACACTTACACTCAAATATAAATATGTATATTAAAATATGAAAAAAGATATATTAAACATTTTAATGGGTTGTGGATTTTCCACAGCAGTGTAGGTTGCTGAAACAGCACCTAGATTGATGGATGATACACATATATTATATATAACATTATCTATATTATATTAAATTATACTCATTAATTCAATAAACAGTGTTTAAGCACCTATTGTTTACAGAATACTTTTCCATGCTGGAGGGAAATAAAAGTGCTTAAGTAAGACATTGTATTTGTTCCCTTGTATTTGTGGATCTCTCACTCTTTGTCTCTTTTTCTCTTTCATTCCATTACTAACCCAAACCTTCACCCCACCCCCTATCTCCTCCCTAGATATGTGTTTATATCTTGGTTATTAGAATAGATTTCATTTGTGAAATTATGCTGCATTTTTAGTGACCCAAAACTACATGATATTACAAAAGCCCATTTGCTGCAACAGTATTTTTGGTTTAAATATTGGCATATTATGATCTAAAAAAATTAAAATCCCTCAAAAAGCACTGGGGTGCTATATACTAAGAATACATGTATTTATTTGATTTTGTATACATCAAAGTTCTAAATTAATTATATTAATTTCAACAAAACTTAGAGTTTATATTGTATTGATGGATACAACATACATGCAGATATATAAAATAGATATAAAACAAATGAAATACATTTTGGTGAGGAGAGAGAGTACTAAGGCTTGGTTAAAGAATCAAGAAAGGCCTCATATGCAGGTAGCACCTTTATGGAGTTTGAAATTCAAGAAGTTGGGGTTGGGGGCAGCTAGGTGGCACAGTGGATAGAGCACTGGCCCTGAAGTCAGGAGGACCTGAGTTCAAATCTGGCCTCAGACCAAATACTTGACATTTACTAGCTGTGTGACCCTGGGCAAGTCACTTAACCGAATTGCCAAGTTGGAGTTGAAGGTGGAGAGCATTCTGAGTGTGGGGAAAGACTGTGAAAAGGAATGGAAGCAAAATTTGGAATGTAATATATGCAGAGCAGATAATAGGCCAATATTATGCAATATTATGAAACAATGAACTGTGAGAAAAATGATCTGGAATATACCTGGAAGGTAGATGATACCCAGATTGTGAAGTTTATTAAATGCCAGGTTGAAGATTTTATGTTTTAACATCTACAGAAGAGGGAGCCACTGAAGATTAAATGACATAATTAGATTTATATTTTAGGAAAATGAATTTACAAGCTTTCTGGAGGCTGAATAGAAAAAGGGAAAGATCAGAAAAAGGAGCCCAATTAGATACCTTTTAAAATAATTGAGAAGAAAGGTGATGAAGACCTATCCTAAATAAGTGTATGCTAATGGAGAGATTCATGCAAGAGAAGTTTTGATTCAAAGTCCAAAATTTTATATTTTTAATGTTGAACAAAAATGATTAAAGAAATTTACTATGAAAGTCTTTTTTTTTAACCTGTATTGCTGTTCTTTACAGTCATGTACTTTTTGTCGACCAAAATTCATCATTCACTATTCATTAAGCCACTACAATAAGGTCTACCTCAGGAAAATCATAAGTGGACAACAATTTTTGTGAAGTCCTGAATAATGCAGAATTAGTCATGCAGCAACAGAACATCACATCTGTATCCTGTCTAAAACATCATATATTTAAATTTGTATGACTCACTGAAGATGTGTTTTTTTTTCCACTTGACATTACTTGACACACGCATAATGAATGATGAGTTTGGTTGTATAAAAGTATATTTATCACATATGATTTCTTTGCCTATATCTTACCTCTTTTGAGTAAAGCAAAATAAAAATTAAAACTAGACAAATAAAATATCCCAGAGAAAAATCTTCAGTGCAAACATGCTTAACAAAAAGTAACTTTATCAGCAGAGATTTTTTTAAATAAAAAAAACCTTTTCACATCACACATTTTTCTATACCATATTAATACTTTGATAGGTGGTATGATTTAATGGATAAAGTCAGGAATCCCTGAATTCAAGTTCTATTCCTGACACTTAACAGATTACTTAACCTTCAAAGTATCCAAAATAATTCTGTGCTACTAAAATATATGGATGAGTTGTCAATCTGTGTCTTTAAAGAGAGATTCCAAATGAGAAGCTCATTCACAAAATCACAAATTAAGCACCTACCCACTAAAAGAAAATGGAATATATATTTGATGATAATGATGAATGTTAGCAAAATTGACATTTCTCAAACCCAAAATCTAGTATGTCATGTGTTTATTGTATTTATGCATATCATTTCATCAACATCAGTTTGAATGCCTGTTTTCTTTATTTTTTATTCTGAAGGTGGATTTCTAAAAGCATCAATATTAGGGCTCATCTCTGAGGAAAACTGAAGTCATATCCAGAGAAATTAAAGTGGTTTCTAACTATTCTTCAAAGATTGACTTTTAAAATACTTTGTCCAACTATGCTAATCAAATCTGCAATTGTTGCAATTCTATTTTTCCTAAAAATATATGTTACTAGTGAACATATAGTATGCAAGAGACAGAAGACTGTAGAATGCCATCTCGAACCTAAAACAGTTATAGTAAATTGGACTCTCAAATAAAACATCTGCATTGATTTCTATAAAGAATGCTGGGAAAATAGTTCCAACACTCAAAACAGTTCCTCAGCCCATCAAGGACTTAATATTCCTCAAATTTGTCCCTTGGAACTTCAAGTTGGGGACACACTTATTATTTCTTCTGAACCATCTTCTAATTTCATTGGAATGAATCTGATGAATGTTTTCAAAGACACTTTCATTAATTGTCTGCAGAATGACAGTGCTCAAGATCAACTGCTTTTTGGTTGCAAACTAAAAGGCACACACGAAGTTAACCCTCAGTGGCTCAGCATTAGAGCACATTATTTCCTCACAAAAATGACAGGAGGTCCATTGCTCTTCAAACTTGGCCTTCGTTTGAATGTAACAGTTAAGCAACAATTTTGCCAGGCATCCCAGAATGCAGCATTTTGCTCTGGGCATGGCAGATGTCTAAGTGAAATTTGGAATAAGACATATGTCTGTCATTGTCAGCCTCCATATTCAGGGGAATTCTGCCAGGAAGTGGATGAGTGCTTTCAAAACCCATGTCATAACAATGGAATTTGCATTAATAAAAACGAAGAACAGAATGGGGATTCCTATGATTATATCTGTCATCCACAATTTACAGGTAAGATTTTTTTTTTCTATGAACTAAATTCACAAGTTAACAATTATAAATGGAAGTGTATGTTGTCATAAAAAGACTATGTTCTAGTTAAAGTTGAATTTGGAGGATTCACAGAGTATAAAATCTAAATTTTTGTTTCCATCATGACACTATTTCATTATTTTAAATATTGTTTAACATATTTTACATCATAATCACTTCTTACTATATATGCTAAAAGTTGACCATTTTTGATAGCATATACAACATTCCATTCATGTAGTCCCTCACCTTACAAACCAAACAAAACTGAGGGAGTAGTATTTCTAATCAGGACAAGATTGGTAGCTACAATTATTCACTTTGGGGCATTTTCCTGTTATTTCTTTTGTTTTCATTGTTATAGTCATTATTTGGTTTCTGTTTATTTTATTTGGCATCACATCAGGCAATAGACACTTCATTTGACTGCTTTCTTTTTCTAACCAGAATAAAGAATCAACTTGGGCTGGAAAGAAATGAGTTGTGTGTACATGTGTGTGTGTGTGTGTGTGTGTGTGTGTGTGTTATGAGTTAGACACATTTAAGTACTCTGATAGATGTTTTGACATAATACATGTGATGACTCTATTATGACTTTGGACTTTAGCTCCCTTGGGAAGTCCTATGAAAAGTAGCTTTGATTCTCTCAGTACTCTGTCTTTTCCTGTCAATCCTGTCCCTTAATAATATGTGGCATGTTAAGGACAGTACAGATACAGAGGATACCTTTTCTTTGAGCACTGAAAAAGAAAACTTAAAAAGAAAAAATATTTAAAATAATAAACACATTAAAACTCACTTGTTAATGACAGTTAAGCAAGCAACAAATACTTAGTAAATGTATGTAAATTAAGTAATGAACAAATGAGCTAAACAATATCATGTCAGGGAGAAAAAAATGGGAAAAAAAACAAATATTAAGGAATGAGTAGGTTTTCTAAATTGTGTTGAACCTTTGCAGAGTGCCTACCATGTAGCAAGCATTTAATTCATGCTTGCTGACTTTACCATCCGTATGTTCAATTTTAGTAATATTATATTTCATTGCCCTAATAAAACATAAAACAAAGGTTTTACCTCTTTTGGCTTGATTGAGAATTCTTTTATGGAAAAGACAGCTTCTGCAAAGCCTTAAGTTCTTTCTTAAATCCTGTTTTCTCTTCATTTCTCCTCAGTTCTGAACTGTCTTTAATCCCAAATACACATAACGTCATGAAGCCTGCATCATAACCATAATACTCTCTAAATTTGTAGTCTCTGACAGAACAACACACTATACAACTCAGCATTTTACAACTTGACTTCTTAAAAGAAACAGAATGATTTGCAGCATGATAAAACAACTTACAATTGAAATCCAACTAAAACTTCAAGTGCCACAAATTTGTCTGTTTGCAAGACAAACGGTATATTTTTTCACAAAAATTATTTGAGGACTTCCGCTTCCAGGAGCCAAGATGGTGGAGTAAAAAGGTAGTCGCTCTCACCCTCCCCTATCAACCTCTGAAATCCCAGAAAATATCACCCCAGAAAAAACCCTGGAACAGCTGAACCAAAAGAAAGACGAGGTGCAGCAGTGCAGTAGCCCAGCAAAAATAAGGGAAGCAGCACTACAAAGGGCCCCAGGTGAATAAGCACCCTGCAGCATTCATCTGAAAGGAGCTGAAGAAAGCAACCTAGAGTTGCCCGAAAGTTCCAGCCTTGTTGATTCCAGCCCAACACCAGGTAAGCTGTCAGAACCCTACAGCCTCCAATTGCCAACCAGGAGGAGATCCCGAAGCCCAGGTGGTCAAGCAAGCAAACACCAACAGCTGGATCTCTGAGTGCCTCGGTGAGGGAGGGGGAACCAGTGGAAATCAGCTCAGAAAACCACCAGGTGCCTCGGCATTCTACAACAAAGAGTCTCCTAGTGCCTCAACAGAACTAAGAGAGGTAGTACTGCAAGGGGCCCTAGGCAGAAAAACACTCAGCAGCATCCATCTAAAAGGAGTTGAACAAAGCTAAAGAAAAGGAAAATCAGGCAACCTAGATTGCTTGAAAGTTCCAGCCTTGCTGATTCCAGCCAATACCAGGTAAGCTGCCAGAACCCTACAGCCTCCAATTGCCAACATAAGAGGCCCCAGCACACAGTCAGTGACCAAGCCAGCTCCCAACACAAGATGCTTGGGTCAGTGGCCTCTGCTCCCCAACAGGAGAGCTTAATCTCCGTAAAGGCCAGGGCATAAAGAAACACCATGAGTAAAAAGAAACGTACGATAGATTCATATTATGTGAAGAGTGAAGATCAAGACAGAAATTCTGAAGAGGACAACATTGTAATCAGACCCACATCTGCAACATCAAAAGGGAATATGAACTGGTCTGAAGCCCAAAAAGCCTTGTTAGAAGAGCTCAAGGATTTTAAAAGTCAAATGAAAGAGGTGTAGGAGTCCTTTAAAATTACAATTGACCAACTGGAAAAAAAAAGTAAACTGAAGAAAATGTGAATGGGATGAACTCTCCCATAAAACAGAAGTGTATAGCAGATTGGATTAAAACCATAATCCTACAATATGTTGTTTACAGGAAACACATTTAAAAAAGAATGACACATACAGGGTAAAAGTAAAAGGCTGGAGCAAAATATGTTATGCTTCAGCTGAAGTAAGAAAAGCAGGGGTAGCAATGCTGATCTCAGACAAAGCAAAAGCAAAAATAGATCTTATCAAAAGAGATAAGGAAGGAAACTACATCCTGCTTAAAGGCACCATAGACAATGAAGTAATATCATTACTAAACATATATATACCAAATGGTATAGCATCCAAATGCTTAGAGGAGAAGTTCAGAGAGTTACAGGAAGAAATAGACAGCAAAACTATACTAGTGGGGGACCTCAACCTCCCCATCTCTGAACTAGATAAATTTAACCACAAAATAAACAAGAAAGAAGTTAAGGAGGTGAATAGAACATTAGAGAAGTTAGGTATGATAGACCAGCGGAGAAAACTGAATGGGGATAGAAAGGAATATACTTTTTTCTCAGTGGGACATGGCACATACACAAAAATTGACATGTACTATGGCACAAAAACCTCACAATCCAATACAGAAAGGCAGAAATATTAAATGCATTCTTTTCAGGTCATGATGCAATAAATATTATATGTAAAAAAGGGCCATGGAAAGATAAACTAAAAAATAATTGGACACTAAGTAATCTAATCCTGAAAAATGACTGGGTCAAACAACAAATCATAGAAACAATCAAGAGAGTGACAATAATGAGAAAACATACCAAAACTTATGGGATGCAGCAAAAGCAGTTCTTAGGGGAAGTTTTATGTCTCTAAATGCTTACATAAATAAAATAGAAAAAGAGGAGATCAATGAATTGGGCATACTACTAAAAAAATAGAAAAAGAACAAATTAAAAATCCTCAATTAAACACCAAATTAGAAATACTGAAAACCAAAGAAAAATTAATAAAATTGAAATTAAGAAAACTATTGAAATAATAAATAAAACTAAGAGCTGATTTTATGAAAAAAACAATAACATATACAAACCTTAGGTTAATCTAATTAAAAAAAGAAAGAAGAAGACCAAAATACTAGTATCAAGAATGAGAAGGGTGAAACTACCATCAAGGAAGAGGAAATTAAAACAACAATCAGAAATTATTTTGCTCAACTGTATGCCAACAAATTTGACAATCTTAGTGAAATGGATACGTATTTACAAAAATACAAACTGCCCGGATTAACAGAAGAGGAAGTAAAATACTTAAATAACCTCATCTCAGAAAAAGAAATTGAACAAGTCATTGATGAACTCCCTAGGAAAAAATCTCCAGGGCCAGATGGATTTCCTTGCAAATTCTATCAAACATTTAAAGAATAATTAATTCCAATACTATATAAACTATTTGGTAAAATAGGTGAAGAAGGAATCTTACCAAATTCTTTTTATGACACAAATATGGTGCTGACACCTAAACCAGGAAGAGTCAAAACAGAGAAAGAATATTATAGACCAATTTCTCCAATGAGTATAGATGCAAAAATTTTAAACAAAATATTAGCAAATAGATTACAGCAACTTAGAACAAGAATAATACAGTATGACCAGATAGGATTTATACCAGGAATGCACGGCTGGTGCAATATAAGGAAAACTATCAGCATAATTCATCATATCAACATCAAAACTAACAGAAACCACATGATCATCTCAATAGATGCAGAAAATATTTTGACAAAATACAACACCATTCCTATTAGAAACACTAGAGACCTTCCATTTCTGGGAGCCAAGATGGTGCAGTAAAAAGGTAATCACTCTCACCCTCCCCTATCAACCTCTGAAAACTCAGAAAATATCACCACAGAAAAAAACCCTGGAACAGCAGACCCAGAAGAAAGACGGGGTGAAGTGGTACAGTAGGCCAGGTAGCTAGAGGGATTAATGGGAAAGGTCCCTCTTATCCTGGGGGAAGGGGAGCAGTATGAAAGAGGAGTTGCCCAGCCAGCTAGAGGAAAGACCCACTTTAGCACACCAGGAAGAGATTCTGGTGCCTTGGCATTCTACAGCAAAAGGGTCTCCCAGTGCCTCAGCAAAAATAAGGGAAGCAGCACTACAAAGGGCCCCAGGCAGAAAAGCATGCAGCAGCATTCATCTGAAAGGAGTTGAAGAAAGCAACCTAGAGGTGCCAAAAAGTTCCAACCTTGGTGATTCCAGCCCAACACCAGGTAAGCTGTCAGAACCCTACAGCCTCCAACTGCCAACCAGGAGGAGATCCCAAAGCCCAGGTGGTCGAGCAGGAAAACACCAACAGCTGTACCTCTTAGTGCCTCATTGAGGGTGGGGTAACTGCTGGAAACCAGCTCAGAAAACCATCAGGTTCCTAGACATTCTACAGCAAAGAAGTCTCCCAGTACCTCAACAGAAATAAGGGAGGCAGCACTGCAAGGGGCCCCAGGCAGATAAACACCTGGAA